CTGAGTGTGTGTGAGTGTGAGTGTGTGTGTGAGTCTGAGTGTGTGTGAGAGTGTGAGTGTGTGTGTGAGAGTGAGAGTGTGTGTATGTGTGAGAGTGAGAGTGTGTGTATGTGTGAGAGTGAGAGTGTGTGTGTGTGTGTGTGAGAGTGAGAGTGTGTGTGTGTGTGAGAATGAGAGTGTGCATGAGAGAGAGAGACACTGGAGCTAAATATCACAATCGAGATGAACAGGCCAAGTTAACCCCCCACCCCCCACTCACCACCGACACAGGGCTACCACAGGCCGTGAATGATTTAAACATGCATCAGACACACTCATTCATGGACAGTGACATTGGATAAAACAATACCCAGGGAACAGGGAGAATGTGGAAAGAGCAATCAGACCTCCCTGTATTTATGGGATTTGTAGATAGGTGCCTGGTGATTCTGAAATGATAAAGATGGAGACGCCATAGTCTGACCAGACCGTGCGGCTGTTCTCTCATTAGAGCGGTGCGACTGGTGGGGGTTTAACCTGAGGGTCTCCACGCCTCAGGAGAGGGGAGAGGATGGGAAGGAGATGCAGGAATTGAACCTATGCTGTTGGTGTCCATGAGACCATCAGAAATAGGAAAAGGACTAGGCCATTCTGCCCCTCAAGTCCACTCTACCATTCATGGCTGAACTGACATTTCTCAATCCCTCATTCCCCAGCCCTGTGTTCTGAGGAATAGTCACTCGTCCTGAAACATTAACTCTGATTTCTCTCCACAGGAGCTGTCAGACCTGTCGAGCTTTTCCAGCAATTTCTGAATGTTGTGTCTTTGCTGCAATGTCTGTAGCATCTTTGCAAGGAATTTTTTTTTTCATTTTTATTGAGGGAGAGGAAGGAATGGGCAGTTTTATTTATTATATAGATTTGTCACTTTTTAAAACCTACCCCAACACCTAACAATAAACTTACCATCTCCAAACTGAAGGCGAATTGAAATAGGGATAGAATAGGGTCTGGAATGCACTGTCCAGAAATGTGGGAGAGGCAGGTTGAACTGAGTCATCCAAGGGGATATCAGATGGTTATTTGGGTGGGAATGGGGTATGTGGGTATGTGGGGGAAAGGCAGCAGATTGGCACTGGGTCACAACTGGGCTAGGTGATGGAGCCAGTACAGGTATGATGGGCCGAATGGTCCCCTTTTGCACTGTATTAACTCTGGAAAGAGCAGGGAAGATCTCCCTACTGTCCTGGCCAATAGAAACATAGGGGGAAAGAGTAGGCCATTTGGTCCTTTGAGCCTGCTGTACCATTCAATATGATCATGGCTGATCATCCAACTCAGTACCTTGTTTCCATTTACTCCCCACACCCCTCGATCTCTTTAACCCTGAGAATCACGTTTGCAGCTTTGTAGAAAGAACCCGGCCTTATTGCTCAAAGCAGATTGTCTGTTTGCAGAGACAGTAAGAACTGCCGATGCTGGAGTCACAGATATCACTGTGTGGAGCTGGAGGAACATAGAGGGCCAGGCAGCATCAGAGAAGCAGGAAAGCTGACGTTTTGGGTCGGGACCCTTCTTCATTTCCTGAGCCGAAGCGTCAGCTTTCCTGCTCCTCTGATGCTGCCTGGCCTGCTGTGTTCCTCCAGCTCCACACTGCGCTGTCTGTTTGCAGGTTGCTGTTGGTGGGATCTGACTGTGCATAAATTGAGCCCCCTTTCCTTTCCAAATTGGCAACAACACCTGGCTTCCCAGGAGCCATTTGTCAGTTGAAAATCGCTCTGAGGTAGTGAGAGGTGCTACGTGAATGCAAGTCCTTCCCTCAAAGAAGCCGAGGGTGAGGGTGAAAGCCCATGCGAGGAATACTTCCCACACCAGCCTCCAGCAACAGTTTGCGAGGTGCCACCTTACATGGGGGCTGTCAAACCACCAATGACGAAGGAGGACTGCTCCCGCACTCTCTACCCTTCAGCCTGGACCAGGAGATTCTGCCAGGCCCCGTGAGGAAAGGAAACCTCACAAAGTAGGCACATAAAGTGGGCAGTGCGTCCGCTCATTTCAGAGTGGCATTGCTGGCTCAGCTCACTCACTGACCCATAGATGGGTCAAGCACAGGCTCAGCCAATTGGAGGGCCTGGCGCTACCACCTCCCTCACTCCCCCTGGGCAGGGTGTTGCCGTTGGCCTGCAAAGGATCAAATTGATTGATGGGGTCGTGTGACCATTCCCCAGCAGATTCTCGCTCGCTCCTCAGCCGACCTCATCCGCTCCTCACTTCACCCGCTCGGAAAGTAATTCTCAAACCTTCTTCGTAGATCCAAGGCGAGGGTTACTCACCTGCTCTTAACAGGGCTGTGCACTTGGGCAGCAAAAAAAAAACAGGAAGGCAGATTATTCCTTGGAGATTATTACTTGACAGAGAGGAATGTTCAACAAGACCTGGGTGTCCTTGTGCACCTGTCGCTGAAGGTGCAGCAGGTGGTGAAGAAGGAAAATGGTATGTTGGCCTTTCTCGTGAGAGGTTTCGAGTACAGGAGCAGGAATCGATCTGCACTTATACAGGACATTTTTAGGGGCCTCACCTGGAATATTGCGTGCGGTTTTGGTCTCCTTGTCTGCAGAAGGATGTTCTTACTATAGAGGGGGCTGTAGTGAAGGCTTACCAAATTGATTCCTGGGGCATCAGGACTGTCATCGGGAAAGTTTGAGTCAGTTAGGATTGTATTCACTGGAGTTTAGAAGATTGAGGGGGGATCTCATAGAAAGCTGTAAAATTCTAACAGGACGAGGCAGGTTAGTTGCAGGAAGGACGTTCCCGATGGTGGGGGGAGGTCATTGTTTAAGGATAAGGGGTAAACATTTTAGGACTGAGATAGAGGAAATGTCTTCCCCCAGAGCGTGAGGAGCCTGTGGAATTCACTGCCACAGAAAGTGGCTGAGGCCAAAACATTTATGTGTTTCCAAGAAGGAAGTAGGTCCCGACCCGAAACGTCAGCTTTCCTATTCCTCTGATGCTGCCTGGTCTGCTGTGTTCCTCCAGCTCTACACTGTGTTATCTCTGGTAGATATAGCTCTTGTGGCTAAAGGGATATGGGAGGATGGTCAGGGTTAGGGTATTGAGCTCGATTGTCAGGTGTGACCATAATGGATGGGACAGCAGGCTCGAAGGGTCACAGGCCAACTCCTGCCTCTATCTTCTTTGTTACGATTCAACATTTCTGTGAAGATGGAAATTACTCCCACCCCCAGCCCCACTCTCTCTATCTCAGCCTGTCCATTATTAACTCAAAATGAAAGCAGACGTGCTTGATAATAGTCAGAGCCTTTAGACTTGGCTCCACCTTCTTGTGGAAGATATAACTTGGATTGGGAAGAGAAAAATTCTGTTTTTCTGGGCTCAACTTCTACTCTGGGTATTGACGATGACCAGAGAGTGTCAGGTTGGACTCTGTTGTACGTACAACCAAATTCTCAGATCCAGTCAGTCAAAATGAATGGAAGTTGTGGAAGAGAGAGTCATAGAGTGATACTGCATGGAAACAGACTTTTTGGCTCAACCAGTCCATGCCAACCATGTTCCCAAACTAACTAGTACTACCTGCCCGCTCCTGGCCCATATCCCTCCAAACCTTTCCTATTCATGTACTTATCCAAATGTCTTTTAAACGTTGTGACTGTACCCACATCCACAACTTCCTCTGAAGGTTCATTCCACACACGAACCACCCTCTGCGTAAAAGAAATGATAAACAGACAGGAAGGGACAATCTTTTCTGTCTCTCTTTACAAATGCTCACCTTTCCTGAACACTTCACAGGATCTTTGCTGTATAATTAATTGCCATTAATTGAAACATTATTTTGTACCAATTAGTAAATTGTTCATAATTTGAACATAAATCAAAGGTTATCAGAAAAACACGCATGCACAGAACCAGACACACACACACACACTCACACACACACACACACACTCACACACACACACTCAGACACTCACACTCACACACACTCACACACAGACACTCAGACACACACTCACACACTCACACTCACACACACTCAGACACACACACACACTCACACACTCACACTCACACTCACACACTCACACACACACACACACTCACACACACACACACACTCACACACACACACAGACACGTACACAAACAGAAATACATAAAAGAAAATTCTGATAAGGTAGAGATCAGATTGGACTCAGAAACAAGCCCAAAACAGAAGAGGCACTCTGCAGAATTATCTGAAAAGGCTAATACATTTCTGAGTAATTCGCACAAGCACTGACACTTCTCCTGGAACATGCTTACAAATATTAGCCGACTTTCTGGGATCCCATCGCCAAATTCAGTCGTACTCCTGTGTTTCATCTGAATAATTACAGCGATCTGCTGTAAATATTGTCACCTTTCCAGCTTCCACAGATGTTTCCAGCAACTCCCTGTAATTACTAACACTCGCCCAGGAACACTGAGTAAATAATACAGGTACTTTCCCTACCCCAAACCCTCCACACCCTGGTCTCCAGGGGACCTCCTGTAAGGAATAAACCATACCCCAAGGAGTAGCCCCTGGAAATACTCACACACCACCCCCACCCCCAATCCTGAAGACCCTCCGTCATAACAACACACTCCCTCCTCGCCCCGGGGATCCCCTGTAAATATTGACAGATTCCCCCCTCTCCCCGGGGACCCCCTGTAAATACTGACACACTCCCCCCTCTCTCCCCGGGGACCCCCTGTAAATACTGACACTCCCGCCCCCCAATTCCCCAGGGACCCCCTGTAAATACTGACATGTTACCCATTCCCCACCGACCCCCTGTATGTTGTGTGATTCCCTGGGAACACACTGCAAGTGGAACTTCCTACAACTGAGTTTTAATTTCTGCAAGTTAGGAGCTGTTGACAGTGAAAGGGTCATTGCATTATAGAGATCTACAGCACAGAGAAAGGCCCTTTGGCCCATTGTATCCATGCAGCTCCAAAAACAAACTCCTAACCATTCTCATCCCGAGAGTAGTCACTGCTGTGACTCCGGATTCACACCGAGCTTGCTGTGGATCATCAGTAAGCGAATATTTCTTACTAATTGGCTTGGCATCTGGTCCACTTCTTTTAAACTCAATTTCCCCCCTAAAGAAACAATCCACAAATATTACCAGGGGAAGGAAAAGCAATCTAATTACTCACTCATTCAAATGAAGCAAATCTGAAACCAGAAACATTGGATGTATAGAAACAGGCCGTTCGGGGGTGTCTGCTCCTCGCCCAGCCCCCTGTCATCTCACCCTATCTCCACCTCCTTCTATCTCTCTCTGTCCCTCATGGGTTTATCCATCTTACCTACTCTCATCCCCACCCACATCAACATGATACAGATCAAGCCCTCCCTGTGGGAGTCATTGTTACATTCTCCCCAATCTCTGGGGTGGGGGGGGAAGGTTTCTCCTGGATTCCCGAATCGATTTATTTGTGACTGTTTTATATTCCTGGATCCTGTTGTTCAGCTTCCCCTTCCCAACAAGAGAAAACATATCTCGACATCCACTCAAGCTCAGAAGATGTTGAAGATTGAGATTGATTTGCCCTCCCAGCCTTCTGTTGTCTTGTCCCAGTCACTAGCAATTAGCAACGGAGCAGATACACTGTGATATTTCCAGAGGCATAGTCTAATCTGCCCTGAGCACCTCATGATTTCTGTCCAACCCCCAACCATCCAGTTCCGCACTCAGAATTAAATGGTGCTACAGGAAAAATGTTGTGAATCTTGAAAGGGTTCAGAAAAGATTTATAAGGATGTTGCCAGGGTTGGAGGGTTTGAGCTACAGGGAGAGGCTGAATAGACTGGGGCTATTTTCCTTGGAGCTTCGGAGGCCAGGAGTGACCTTATAGAGGTTTATAACATCATGAGGGGCATGGATAGGGTGAATAGCCAAGGTTTTTTCCCAAGGATAGGGGAGACCAAAACTAGAGGGCATAGATTTAAGTAGAGGGTGTAAATTTAAGGTGAGAGGGGTAAGGTTTGAAAGGGACCTAAGGGGCAACTTTTTCAGTGCTATGTGTATGGAACCAACTGCCAGAGGAAGTGGTGGAGGCTGGTACAATTACAACATTTAAAAGGCATCTGGATGGGTACACGAATAGGAAGGGTTTAGAGGGATATGGGCCAAATGCTGGCAAATGGGACGAGATTAATTTAGGATATCTGGTCGGCATGGACGAGCTGGACCGAAGGATCTGTTTCCGTGCTATATGACTCTATGACAACAGTCCCTATTCTCATAATAAGCAATTAACAGCTATGAAAGCTGAAAACATAAACGTTATAATCAAATATGAAGAGGAAGGTCTCTTGTGGCACAGTGTCCGAGCCAGGAGACCTCAGTTCAAGTCCCATTTCTCCTGAAGTGTGCTGTAAACTGCCTGGAGAGGTTACTCCTCAAAACGAGACAAAAAAGGACAGCAGGGAATTATGGATTCTAGCACTCGTTGCTGTAACCTGGGGAAACGGTTTACCAAATAGCCAGAGAAGGCAGTACCAACAAAAGGTCACCATCCTGATAGATTAACCCTTTCCCTGCAGATAATTTCCAACCTTTGCTGTTTTGATTATTTCAGAAAGTTCTCAGATTTTCAGCATCTGCGGTAACGCAAGCCCCCCCAAGGGCGAACAGGAGGGGTCTGCCAAAGGGCTAGCACAGGCACCAATGGAAGGGCTCAATGGCCTCCTCCTGCACTGAGCGGTTGGTTGAACAAGATGAATTTTGCTTCAATATAGAGAAGTTTTGGATAGAATTTTTTTGGGGAAGGATGAGAGATGGCGCAAAGGGACAAGGAAAAAGGGGTGAGGGATTGTTTACAGGAATGATCCCGGGGATGAAGGGCTCATACGAGGAGTGGTTGAGGACTCTGGGTCTGTATTGGATGGAGTTTAGAAGGATGACGAGGGGATCTGATTGAAGCTTACAGATTAGGATAGAGTGGATGTGGAGAAGATGTTTCTACTAGAAGGAAAGACTAGAACCCAAGGGAACAGCCTGAGAGTGAAAGGATGACCCTCTTAAACTGAGATGAGGAGGCATTTCTTCAGCCAGAGGGTGGTGAATCTGTGGAACTCATTGCTGCAGAGAAGTTTTGGAGTACTGTGTACAGTTCTGGTCTCCCTGCTAATAGAAACGATGTTATTAAATTGGAGACGATACAGAAAAGATTTACTAGGATGTCACTGGGACCAGAGGGTTTGAGCTATAAGGAAGAGGATGAATAGGCTGGGGCTATTTTCCCTGGTGAGTCGGAGGCTGAGGGGGTGACCTTAAAGAGGTTTATAAAATCAGGAGGGGCATGGATAGGGTGAATAGCTTTTGCTAAGGGTAGGAGTGTCCAAAACTAGAGGGGCATAGGTTTAAGGTGAGAAGGGTAAGATTTGAAAGGGACCTGAGGGGCAACATTTTCACACAGAGAGTGGTGCATATGCAGCCCATAGTGACCCTCTGAAGGCCATCCCACCAATTCCCACACTTCCATTGGCTAAGCCACTGTAACCTGCACACTACAGCATGGCCAATCTACCCTAACCTGCAGGTCTTTGGACTGTGGGAAGAAACCAAAGCAAACCCACGCAGACACAGGGAGTACGTGCAAACTCCACACAGACAGTCCCCGGAGGGTGGAATTGAACCCGGGTTCCTGGTGCTGTGAGGCAGCAGGGCTAACCGCTGAGCCACCGTGCCATCCCAGAGGAAGGGTGGAGGCTGGGACAATTATGACATTTAAAAGGCATCTGGATGGGTACATGAATAGGAAGGGTTTAGAGGGATATGGGCCAAATGCTGGCAAATGGGACTGGTTCAGTTTAGTAAACCTGGTGGACGAGTTGGGGGCAAAGGGTCTGTTTCCGTGCTGTCTGACTCTATAGCTGTGGAGACCATTAAGTGTATTTAAGACAGAGATAGATAGGTTCTTGATTAGCCAAAGGTTACAGGGAGAAGGCAGGAGGACGGGGTTGAGAAACATATCAGCCATGACCGAACGCGATGGGCAGAATGGCCTAGTTCTGCTCCTGGTGTGATCTGGAAGAGGTTACCTGATGAACATGATGATGCCGACCCTGGCGATATCTTGATGCAGGACTTTCCAGGATTGCTGGATGAGGTCTTTTTGCTGCTCGGACAGGGGCAGAGGGGGGTGTGAGTCCGAGGCTACCAGCTCTGACCCCCCCGCCTCGGAGCGAGGTGCTGCACCGCTCACATCGACACCAGCTTTCCCGGGATCGTGCCCAGTCCCGGACAGAGCACAGCCCATAATAACCCCACTGCTCCCACTCCCCGCACACAAAATAAACAAAACACACAACAAAATCCTGAAATTAAATTTCCAACCGAACCATGCAATAAAAAGATTCACTTATCATTAAATCTCCAGCATCTCTCCTGGACTGCAACACTCTCAAAGTGTTTTCATTCTGGAATCCGGGCTAATCAATAATTCCCAGTCCCCTCCTTGAAACCCTCTTCGTCTAAAATACTCCAGTCCCCGGGATCGAACCCACTGCCTCCTGCTCTCGGGGAGACTGAGACTCACACAGTTCCCTTCAGAGACTGAGGCAAAACGTGTCAGCATCAGTACCACGGGAGGGGGAGGGGCTTCTCGGGGGAGGGGAGGGGGAGAGACTGAGGAGGGAGAGAGAGAAAGAGATAGAAGAGCGTGAGGGATGGAGAGACAGAGTGAGAGAGGGTGGGGGAGAAAGTGAG